TCTTCGGGTCGGGCAATTTGGGCTTGGTCGGAAAAAGTCAAAAAAATTCCGGCGGACGGCGGTAAACGGCGACGGGCTCCGGAGTTAATTCTAAATTCGGGCTGCCCGAGCCTGAAAATAAAGCTTGGATGGGCCAGCAATTGGGTTAGCCCGCCCGAGCCCGAAAAATTCGGGCTTCGGGCCGGCCCGCCGACCCGAAGTTCCAACACTACGGGCCGGCCCGAAGTTCCAACACTATGTGGTGGCACATTGTAACGAAAGATGTGCTCTTTTGCCTTCATCTTTCACGGGCAGCAGCTAATGCCTCATGGAATGTAATACAGACTCCTTCCTCATAAAGCTTTGTAACCTTTTGGTTCATCAGTAATTTTAATTTTAAATTTAAATTTTATGAAGAATTTATTAGTAAAAATTTCTTGGATTTAAATTTATTGTGAAAGAAGAAAGTCAGAATCATAGGTTTTAGTTGTCTTGAAATTCCTTTTATATGTGTATATATAAACCATGGCGCACAAGTGATCTCATTCGCTAACCCTACCCTATCTACACTGCACAGTTACTAAGTAGGAAAAAAAAAGAACAAATTGTAGGCATTTAAATATAAAAAGTGGATCTCATCTCATTCGCTGACATTTCCTATTTAAAGCAGGTGTTGCAATATTTTAGGTAATATTAATGACTTTTGTCTATATGTTTTTAATGCATGTTGTTGATGCTGAAGATATTAATTTGTCATATTGCTATTAGTTTGTATTGCATCTTATATTGCTGACAACAGTTCATTTCTTTTCATTGTCAACGAATTTTAGTCATGTATAATTGTCTTTCTCCACATTGTTTATCTATGTTATAGCAGTATATATATATCTCTCTTTTTACTTAACATAGTTCATCCTTACTTGGTTTCAATCTATGCTAATGATTGCTGCAATATTATTTTATTAGTTTGCTGCCATGTAATTTATTTAGAAATTGCCCCAAATGTATTTCTACTTATGTGCTAATTTCAGACTTTGATTTTGTCTGTAGTTTCTTGCTTTACAAGTATTTGAATATCCTTTTTCCCCTTTTTTTACTTGCTCTAACATTTTTGCCTTTTTGGTTGCCCAGTTCCATCTTCGTCCACTTACTGCTCAGTCTTTTAAGCTATGTCTCTTTCACATGTGTTTGCTTCGCCCATATTCCCTATTTAAGGCAATTTTCATAGTGTTGCAGGTACTGTTGAAGACTTTTGCCCATATGCTCTCAATATTTATTATTGATGTTGAATGTATTAATTACTTTGGCTACTACTACTTCCTATTGTCTGTTATAGTGCTTAAAAAAATCTCTTTTTGTTGTCGTGACTATGTCTTTATGTTTTATTATTGTATAGTGATGGCATATTGATTTCTTAGTCATTTCTTCTATAATCACGTGTATATATATATATGTGTGTGTACCTATTTTTCTTTAACATATTTTATCCTTCCTTCCCTTTGGTGCGTGGCAATGATGATTACAATTGGTTTTGGGCTCTCAGTTCTATCTAATCTATCCAAAAATTATTGTGAATAAACCTCCTTATTTGGATCTTCATTTTACCTATCCTTTTGGACTAAAACACTTTAAATATCTTCTCTTCTTTTCTTTGGCATGTGGCAGTGATGATCATAATCAGTTTTGGACTCTTGAATTTGAATTAATCTATCCAAAAATTACTATGAATAAACTCTTCCTATTTAAATTTTGATTTTTTGTATATTTTTTACTAAAACAATTTAAATGCCTTCCCTTTGTTCTTTTGCTCTTCTTTAGTTTAAGGCTATGGCATTTGAGATGCCTCTTTCAGTTGAATTCACATTTTCTATCTTTTTCTTCATTGGGGTTTTTTGTTATATTTCTTTCATGATTTCATGAACTTTGATTTTCAACACATGAACAACATCATTGTTACTCTTTCATTTCTTAATTTTTGGCTTTTAATATTTATATTTTAAGTATTTGATTCAAAATCTATTCCTCCATATAATGTCTTCTTATCCCATCTCTTTTTGCTCTTGTAAGTCCTTTATTTAGAGCATATCATTTTCCTTTTTCTCCCCCCTTTGCCTTGCATGTACCATTTATTTCCATGTTTCTTTTTGCTTTGCTTTACAAAGGCTTTTGGGTTTTCCCCTTGGCGTACGATTTCCCTATCTGTTTTTGTTCTATATGTTTTCATTTTTCCCATTATTTTTAGTCTCAGCCTTCCAAATGTGCTTGACCCAAATGGAATCTGAGTATAATTAATTGGCTATTTGATGCTTTGACTGTACCTACTTCTTCTATTTTACTTGGACAAAAGTCATACCCATTATGCACTGTTGACACAAGCACAATTTACTATTCATTGTGTGGCTAGTTTCTGCCTAGCCTCATTGTCCATTTAATCTTGCTGTTTTTCTCCTCTCTTTTAATGCACCAGGTAGTTTTTGGACAGATTTATACTTTACTCCGACCCTTTATTTTGTGTCACACATGTCATAATCTGCATGGCAAATATAACATTTGACTAATTTTTGTGTCTTTATGCAATTGCTGCAGATAGGTAGCTATAAAAATACAAGTCAGTTGATTTACCATGCATTTGTTGACAACAGTTAATATCTGAGCCACAATTAATATGTAAAAGCATTACCAAATTCATAATTTATCAATTTCCTCCCATTGAATCTTTCTCATTACTTATTTGTTCACTTATATCTCACCATTAGTTTGTGTTTAGGCCTTAGGCCTTCATCTTTATGAAATTGACATAATCAGCTTTTATTATGAGGAATTTTGTTTCTACCTGTTTATAAATGGACCAGATAGTTAAAGACGTGCGAATACAAGCATAAATTGGGCACTTTATCTATTATTTATTCATAGGTTTAATTCATGTACTACTTCTACCTTATTTATTTGCTTTGTACATAATGATATTTAATATTGTAAATTAGGAATTTCTCTTATGGTAAATATGTGGTTATTGTAAATATTTTTATATTACTTACAATAAATTATAGGCACAAATATTGAATTTTGTACATCCCTTGCCATAGAATTATTGATGTAATTATTTGTTGTTCGTTTTAATATGTTCTAAATATATATTCCAATTACAAAATGTTATTTATGTACAGTTAATTTGAGTTGCTTTATTTATGACAAAAATTATCAACTTTTACTACAACATAAAATTATTTTTCACTACAGCGCGCGCAAATGCGCGCGTAAACTACTAGTTGTATCGAAAGATGTGCTCTTTTGCCTTCATCTTTCACGGGCAACAGCTAATGCCTCATGGAATGGAATACATTCACATTATGCTTAATTTTAATTTTAATTTTAAATTTTATGATGAATTTATTAATAAAAATTTCTTTAATTTAAATTTATTGTGAGAAAAGAAAGTCAGAATCATAGTTTTTAGTTGTCTTGAAATTACTATAAATATGTGTGTGTATAAACCATGACTCACAAATGGGCCTCATTGGCTAACCCTACCCTATCTACACTGCACAGTTACTAAGTAGGAAAAAAAAAAACAAATTGTAGGTATTTAGATTTTATTCATTTTATCGATTTGAGTTTTTAATTTTAAATTTTTACAGTTAAAAGTTCTCAAAAAATGTCACATCTAATTTTTTCTGCTACAGTTAAAAACTCTCAGAAAATATCACATCTCAATTTAAATTAAAAATTTAAATTCGCGAAGCAAACGAAGTCTTAAATATCAAAAGTGCATCTCATTTCTCGCTAACCTGAAACTCGCTCACTCCACAGTGGATATATAGCATGTATACTGCAACTACTTTTATTGAAGGGTAATTAGATCTAATAGTCGCTGATGTTATTTCTACCTGTTTGTTTGTAGGATTGTGATAAGTTTGAACTCAGAAATCAATCAAAGTCCTTGTTTAGTTGCATTAATTTGGATTTGAGTTTTGGGTTCAATTTAACCCCAAAATTGAAGGTTTTACCAACTTTACCTTTGACTTCTTTTGGATTCTAACCTAAAATACCGTTTATTAAACTCATTTTCACTCACATTTATTAAAACCACATAATTCTAATAAGTAATTAAATACTGTCTCAAATTTTATTTCATATTTAAATCTTACACTATCAAACTTCAATTCGAATCACAAAAAATCTCACATATAAATTTAAACATAAAAATCTAAATTCAAATATTTAAACTCACACAATTCGTAACCCGCGTGTTCATAAAAATCAAAATGCATCCAGAGTACAACTGATCGATTCAAATATTACATCCATATTTTGTTCGATAAAATTACCGTGTCATGATCATCATTGCAATTTACTCTAATTTTTAATAATTGCTATAATTTTGAAAAACATATTAAAAATCCAATTCACCCCTCTCTTAGATTAGGTAGTTATTCTTGAGATAACATATAATGTCCCTTATTAACTGATTTTTAAAAAATGACACCTAAGACATTCAGTCCATTTTATAAATGGAAGTTGACAGAAGGACTATTTTAATCAGTTTTGTATTGAGCAGGGTGTGTGAGAATGTTATTTTTTAAAGATTAGGAGGCAATTTGAAAGTGTATAGCTTCAGGTTTTGTTTTCAAAATTAGTGGACGTTTGGTTTATGGATTCAGAATTATGATTCAAAATTATTCTCAGTTTAAATGTATTTTTTGTGAAAAAAAAATACTACAGCAAGCCACAAACTATAATCCAAACTATATCATGAATTCTTATTCCAAACACAACTTTAATCTCTTTTTCCAAAAACTAAAAAATAAAAAAAAAAGTCAATGGGTCATGCTAAATGCAATAGACACGCGGGAGAAGAGCAATAGCCTTCATGCCACGTTTCCTTCATGCACCACACTTTCCCACCCTTTATAATTAATACTATCAACTTCAACTTATAAGAGAGGGAATTCTAACAATCAAAAATAAAAAAAAAAATCATCAGAAATATCTAGCAATTTTGATTTGGAAGTGAAGTGAAAATGCCAGGACTCAATATTGGAGACACAATCCCCAACATTGAAGCTGAAAGCACCCATGGAAAGATCATTCTCCATGACAACATTGGCGATGCTTGGGCTATTATTTTCTCTCATCCCGGTAACTCGTGATATGTATTATAATTTATATATAATGTCATACATACATATATATATACATACGTGTCAGTGTTTTCCATGAATATTTCTGTTTTGTTTTTCCTCTGAAATTTTGTCATAAAGGTTTTGCATGATCAATACTGATTCGTAGTAGTTATATATATATGATCAAATTTCTTCCTTAAACAACTTTGGCTTATGTAGTACTTATGTGCCATAGTTTAGTTATTTTGTCATTTTTGTTTCGTTCTCTTTTTTTTCCCCCCTTTTTTAGCTGAGTAGCTATTATGTAATAGACACCAGATATATTGCATAATATACTAAAAAAGTACGTACATGCACATATATATATATATATATATATGTACTTAAATGTAGGTGACTTCACGCCCGTATGCACAACGGAGCTGGGTAAGATGGCGGAGTATTCAGGGGAATTTGCAAAGAAAGGAGTGAAGCTTGTTGGCTTGTCCTGCGATGATGTCCATTCTCATAATAAGGAGTGGATCAAGGATATCGAAGAATACAACGTCAGTTTCTTTCTTTCTTTCTTTCTTTATTTTTATGGTGCTTGAATTTTAAATAGGCACACACATAACCGTTTATTTCACCGATTTGAGTTTAAAATTTGAGTTTTGTTACAGTAAAAAGCTCTCATATAAAATCACATCGTAACTCGAATTAAAAACTCGAATATCGAATTAAAAACTCGAATCAGCGAACTAAACAAGCTCAAAATGCCATAAAGAGAGAGAGAGAGTTTGTGTCACAATGTTATATAACCAGACGAATTTGCATATAAAAATCATCTTTATGTAATGGTCCGAATAGAGATTCGGGTAGTTTTATGGATTTCAAAGTACCACAAGATATTCTTAGCCAAAAGAGGAGTTAGCATAAGGTGTAATTAAACAGTATCGTCTACATAATTTTTTTTTTTTTTTAAAAAGAAATGTTAAATATCATCTCTAGTTTGAGAAATAGAGTAAAAAAACATTATGAATAAATATCTGGTTGAAAATCAGAAGAAGCATATATAGAGAGGCCCTAAAAGATTATGATTTTGTTGTAATTAATTAAACTAGTATCATATATATAATAAACGTCTAGTCTGTACCGTGGAAGTATTAATATAATTCGATAATCTCATAATATATCTTTTGACTAATAAAGTTTATGGTCTGGGCTGCCTTGGTTTTGAAGCATTTGGATCCCAACTATATATGATTATTCCTCAATTCTTAGCCTACTATTAAAATATAGATATAGATACGACGCAATGCTAATTTAAACCGTTGAATATATTGAGTACTTCTTGAGCGGGAAAATGAAGGCAAGTTATTTGTCGTAATTAAAACAAGTACTATTATATCATATAGTAATTAAACAATCAGTTCCCTTCCAAAAAAAAAAAAAAAAAAAAAAAAAAAAAAAAAAAAAAAAAACTAAACAATCAGTGGAATAGGAGAATTGCTATATGTAAATTGAGATTTTAAAATTGCAACTTTTTTTTTTGAGTGAAAATTGGGATCTTAAAATTGTACTTTTGTTGTGTATATCTAGTTATTATTTTGATGATGTGATATTGGATTATGCACCATCAAAGAATTAAGTACAATTCTGTTCTATGCAATTATAATATTAAATTAGCAGTATGTTAATTAATGACATTGTTTTCAACAACCAGTAGCACATCTAATATTATTAGTATATTTGTGTGCACATTGATCATATTAATATGTGGAGAGTGGTTGCAAAGTGAACTACCAAATCATGACCGACCCCAACAGAGAGATTATAAAGCAGCTCAACATGGTGGACCGTGACGAGAAGGACTCATCAGGAAACCAACTGCCATCGCAGGCCCTACACATTGTGGGGCCGGACAAGAGGGTGAAGCTGAGCTTCCTATACCCGGCCAGCACGGGGCGCAACATGGACGAGGTGCTAAGGGTGCTGGACTCCCTCCACAAGGCTGCCAACTACAAGGTCGCCACCCCGGCCAACTGGAAGCCCGGCGATCGCGTCGTCATCTCCCCCAACGTCTCTTCCGACGATGCTAAGCGAATGTTCCTGCCCAAGAAGGAGTACTATCTGCGTTTCACCAACGTGCAGTGAGCTTGAAATAATTTTGTGTCACATACTTGTATGAAAATGCAGTACCATATTATATATGTAATATATGTAATGTAAATAATGCTGTAGTTAGTACTACAACCTGTTTGTACATATTTTGTCGAAAACGCTCTTGTGCTACGTATTTGTGTGTGTAACATGTCAATATTTGTGGCATAATGCGCTTCACAAAGTTATAATTAATTATAATTCACAGATGTGGTGTGCTATATATATATATATATATGTATATATGTATGATGATTTTATCACCGTCTTAATCTTCTCAAATTGTTCGCCATCTGCTTGGCCAGGTCCTTAATTAGCAATTTCTGCAGTAGGGAGCAGAAGGGTTATTACGAATACTCTAGATCTCTTGCTAGTTTTCTTTAATTCTTGTCAATAATTTTGGTTGAAATTAGAACGTGAAGTGTTGATTTTATTCTAAGATGAGAGAATGAATGGATATGAGGTGAAATTAGAATTTCGACATGATGCAATCATGCAATGCTAAACGATGCCCTTATCTTCTCTGGCAATATTAACCAAAAACTTAGTTTGGCTGGAGGGAGATCTCGTGGTTTAATCAAAAAGTAAGGTGGTGATTAGGGTTGTACTCGGTCGTTCTGAACATCTTTTGGGAGTAAACGTTTAGGAATATCCTTTAAAGAGTATATCTTCGCAGTTTTGCCAAAGAGACCCTTCAACGAACCACTAGGTCAACAATTTATGATTTCCCAATTTCATCCCCCTAGGTTAAAAAGGTAATCTATAAGAATACCAAAAGTAATATATCAGATGTCATTGGAAACCAATCATCGGTTACCGGCATCGGCCGTCAATTGTCGATGCTCATCAACGAAGAGGAATTTGGTAGATAACAAAAAATAATCTACCATATTAATTCTTATAATCTACTAATTAATTTTTTTCTAAATAAAAAATAGTCGGTCTTCTGATTATGAGAAAGGAATTTAGTAGATTACTTTTTATAATCTATTATAACTAATCATCTCAGGTGGCTGGAGTCAATCATCAGAGAGAAGAATCTTATAGATTATTTTTTATAATCTATTAGATTATTATTTTCTTTATTTTCCACTAAAAATGTTTGGTTGTTTGCTGTCGCCGACGCCAAACACTGAAGAGAAATATGTGAGATTATTTTTCGTAATCCATCTGATTATTTTTTATTTTCAACTAAAAAGTTGACAGTTGTCCCCAATTGCTGACATTAGCTATCAATCAATAAGATTTGTGGGATTGAAAGTGTAATTATAGATGGTCCTAAACCCTTTAGTAAGTGACAGTTTGGTCCTTAATTTTTTTTTTTTTTACAAAACGATCCAAACTTTTTAAAAGGTGTCAATTTAATCATTTCCGTCAAATTTCGTTAAATTTTTAACAGAACATGTCACGTGAACCATCACATGACTCTTTTTTCAATAAAATGACTTAAATGCTCCCATTAGAAAAGCCTTCTTCTTCTTTTTTCCCCCAAACGTTTTCCTTCTGCATATTTAAATTAAGGCGTTGGACGATGAGGTAGGTGGCTTGCTGAGATGATTGCAATAATTGAAGATTACTTCAGGGCCATTTTTTCGTCTAGAAATCCATCGGGGGAGTAGATTAGTCGGGTTACTCAATTTGTGGAGCCGATATAACTGAAAAGTTAGAAGCCCTTTTTACTAGTTTGGAAGTCAAGAAGGCGATTTTTAGTATGGGGAGCAATAAAGCGCCGGGACCCGACGGGTTTCATGCGGCTTTTTCTCAACATAATTGGGAGATAATAGGTAACGATGTTACTAAGGCGTACTTGCGAGTACTGAATGATGGTGAATCCATTGCGAGTTGGAATGAGACGCATGTGTGCTTAATTCCGAAGGTGAAATCTCCAAAGAAGAGAAGGGAGTTTAGGCCAATTAACTTGTGTAATGTGATTTATAAAATAGTCACAAAAACACTTGCAATTAGGCTTAAAAAGGTGTTAACTAGCGTAATTTCAGCGTCCCAAAGTGCTTTCGTACCGGTAAGATTAATTATGGATAATGTGATAATAGCTTTTGAACTGATGCATGCTCTAAAGAGGATGAACAATGGGTGTAAAGGATGGTTAGCCCCTTTCACTGGTTTGGAAGTCAAGAAGGCGCTTTTTAGTATGGGGAGCAATAAAGCGTCGGGACTTGGATGAGTTTCATGTGGCTTTTTTTCAACATGATTGGGAGATAATATGTAATGACCGGGAAAAAATCCTGATGTTAATTAGTGTAATGTAAGTAATTAAATCATGGATTTCCTGGATAATGAAATGTTTTGTAATGAAAGATTTATGGAATAAATAACATTATTCCAAAATTCTATATATAAAATTTTATGTCGAAGATTTTATGTTATGACTCGGTTGATAACCCTCACCGCGAATTAAGACGGGAGAAATTTTCAATTCGACTATGACTACTATGACTTATAATTCTATTCATAATAATTTCCGAGTATTGTACAATGTTAGCAATGCTCTAAGAAGCACTCTAACATTTAAAAAAAATCCTTAATTGCCAATTAGTAAAATCAGAGGTACGTGAGTCGCGTTTTCGGTAAAACCGTAAAGCTGGGCTCAGAAATCGACACTGTCGGTTACCATATTTTACTGAGAGTTTAAGACACGCATGTTGAACTTGGATTTTAAGTTATTTTAAGACATATTTTAAAGTCAGAAAGCAGCCAGAATAATCTACGTGATTTTAAATCTAAACCGGTATTAATTTCTACCGAATATAGTGTAATACTGTGTTTTAAACAGTGTACTGAAAACTGCCGGAAAACATTTTTCCTGTAAACAGATCCAGAAATTACTGTCAGTATAGATTTGATTTGACAAGAGAAGACTTTAGTGGGAGACAAGGATGTAACTTGATTTGACCTTGAGTTGAAAGGTGCCATAAGTCATCATTAAGGAGATTTCTCTCTCTCTTTTTCTCTTAATCTTGTGCAACCGTAATTAGCATGGTTAATCAAAATTTTTGTCTAATTAGTGAGGCTAACAAGCCTAAGAATTATAGTTAAGTATAATTAACCAATTGTCTATAAATACCACCATTTAAAGTTAAACTCATTTTACCATTTTTCTCATTTTTTCACTCTATCTCTCTCTTTTCACCTCTCTTGGCCATACCTCACAAGCCCTCTCTCTCAAAATTTTCCACCTACTTCAAACCACAATCTAGAAGAAGGAGAAGAAATTTGTGTAGGAATTCCTAGCACATTCAAGGGCAAAGATCAAAACTTTTCTCCTTTAATTTTCTTTGTTCAAAGTTCCAACTCTCCTTAAAAGTTGAATCTTTGTAGGAATCTCTCACCTTGGTGGTCAAAACCCTTACTCTCCTAAGTCTTGTGGTAAGACTTTTCAAAACTTATCTTGATCCTTTAACTTTAAGAATTAAAGTTTGGATTGTTTATAAAATTGTGTTTTATGTGTGTTAAAAGGTTAGATCTTCACATGCATGGGGTTCATAATGCTAGATCTATGTTTTGAAATTGTATTTCATGTTTTAAGGTTGTTGTTTTGTGTGTTTGGAACAAATTCTAAACTTTTCATGTTAATCTTAAGAGGATAAATATGAAAAAAATTTAAGTTGGTAAGCTTTATTTTCGGATAAAAGTTCTAGTCTACTTTGACTTAAAATACAGAGTTGTTAAAGTCCAAATTAAGAAAAATGTTATTTCACAAAAGTTGTAGATCTTGATGTGTTAAACAATTCATTGTGACCGAGAAAAATCTCAATTCTGCCCCTAAAATGTGTTTTCAGACATTTTTCCAAAACTGCCCAGAATTTCATCAAAACTGTCCAAAGCTGTCAACTTGAACTAGTTTCTGTTTTGCTATTTTTGGACCCTTTAGAGGGCAATTTTGGGACTTTTGAATCGCAATTCTTAAATTTTTCGACGTTACGAACAAATCTCTATGACTATGAAAAATCACACTTCCGACTCTAGGATGTGTTTTCAGGACATTTTTAAAAATTACGCGAAATAATATTTGTGCCCCCGTTATTTTTAAGATTTTGGTCCATTCTGAGGCCGAATTTCATTTTCTGTGAAACGCGAAACTTTTAGATCACATTAAGATGAAATAAGAAGTTTTAAAAGTGTTACAAACTTATGGTTATCTTTTAAAAAGTAATCACTAAGTGCCTACCAGGCTCAATTCTTAGTAATCGACGATATTACTAATGTTAGAATGGGATTTACTAATGATTTCAAAACAAGATTTGGATTGAGAATTTTTAACACTTAGTATGGGCCCAAGACCTATACTAAGACAGCCCACAACTTTTCAAGCCTAAGTTAGGCGCACTAGTATAAAGGACCGTTGTAGACATGTTTGAGACAAATGGGCCTTAATACATATTTTGGGCTCAATCTAAGAAATAATATTTTGGGCCCAATCTAATCTTTGTAATGTGAAAGAAGTTAAGTGATCCCTATTAAAAGGGAAATATTTCTAAGTAAGTGGATGAATTCCTAAATAGACTAGCTTATAATGAGTCAAATTCATACTCAGTGGGTTTTCTTTACAAAACACATCAGTAGAGGTTAACCTCGGCGAGTAATATAATATAATCCCAACCTTGATTGATAGCAGGTAAGTGAGAATCTCGCCTACAGTATGAATAAGTTTTAAAGTGAAATACTATACATGTTTTATATACATGTTTATGCTCTATGATATAGAATGTCATGTCATATCATGTAACATGCTCACTAATGAACTTAATGAGAATAGATTAAAGTTGAGTATCGTACCAACCTTCCGAGATTGGGGGGCTTATGTTCAAGAAAAAAATGATGAAATGAATTATGGTCACGGTGCAGTTGGGGACCTTGCAAACCCTCTATACCTGTTGATCGCGTGCAATTAGTACATGCATTATTGTTATGCTTTAAGTACTCTGTTTTTAGTTAGCGAGACTTAAATTCCTACTTACTGAGTAATAACTCACCCT